CAATATTGCTGTGCCTCAGGGAATAGGGAGGCCAGAGGAGAGAAAGAGAGACTGGACGCTGGTTGATGGAGCAGTCAGAACACACACAACATTTATTAAGTCTTATGTGGGCATGGTTCGTGGCACCCCAAACAATTACAATGGTGACATTGAAGATCACTGATTACAGATTACCATAACAGATATAATAATAATGGGAAAGTTTGAAATATTTTGAGAATTACCAAAACGTGACACAGAAACAAAGTGAGCTCATGCTGTTGGAAAAATGACGCCAATGATGCAAGATTGCCACAAATCTTTAATTTGTGAGAAACATGATATCTGTGAGGCACAATAAAGCAAAGCACAATAAAATGAGGTATACTTGTGTACAAAATGTATGAAAGAGTCTCTAGTATAGTGGTTTAAGTTGCTGAGCTCTGAAGTTAGGCTACCTGGGTTCAAATCCTGGCTATGCCATTTATTAGTTGTTTGACTTGGGCAAGTTGCATGGCTCCCCCAAGCCTCAGTGTCCTCATGTATAAAATGAACATAATAACAGCACCTGCCTTGAGGGTGGTTATGAGGCTCAGATGAGAAGGATGTATATGAGATGCTGTGCTTAGCATAGGTGAGTTCCTAACATATAGGCACTGATAAATATTAGCTAACATTATTCATCATCATCATCATCATTTTACCTCTGTTAGACTTTTAAAACTTGACCTGCGAAGATGATAAACTCTTGGTTCAGGATTTTATAGATCCCAGGTTACTTTTTTGTCCTAAACCTCCATTCTTTGGGCCTCCCAGGATAGAAGCTTCCTAATCATCTTTTACTCTCTCTCTCCTTTAGGCCCATGCTCTGTCTGTCACCAAGTCCTATCTTGTTTGTTTCAAAAATTTCTCATTTAACTCCTTCTCCATGCCCATCCTAATTCAGGGCCTAATTCCCACAGGCCTGGATTATTGTTCAAGCCTCCTAGCTTTTTTTTTCTGACTACAGTTTCACCGTCCTCCATTCTGGCCTATATGTCACTGCCAGACTGGTCTTCCTGAACTTTTATCCTTTTCCCCCTTGCTTTGGTATCTGTAATGCCTCAATTATCTGCTGCATCAGGACCAAGCCCTCTTGCCTGACCTTCAGGTCTCTCTAGAACATCAATGTCCAGTAGTAATATAATGTCAGCCATACACATTATTTAAAGTTTTCTAGTAGCCACATTAAAAAGTAAAAAGAAATGGGTAAAACTAATTTTACTAACATATTTCATTAGTACTGAAAATATCAAAAATATCATTTCAATATGTAATCAATATAAAATGAATAATGAGATATTTTGCATTTTTTTTTGTTCTGTGTCCTCAAAATCCCCAGTGTATTCTACACTTATGTCACATCTCAATGCAGGCTAGTCACGTTTCAAGTGCTCAATAGCCACATGTGGCTAAGGGCTAGTGTATCAGATAGTGCAGTTGCAGACTGTGACTTGCCACCGCTGCCACCCCCACAAATACCTAAATGTCACTTCTTCCTTCTTTGTTAAAACAAAATAGAGATGGTAATACTGTACCTATTTTATAGGATTCTCCTAAGCCAATGTGAAATGTGAAAGTGCTTTGTAAGCTGTGAAGTTCTGTAAGAATGCATAGAAGTTATCAGAATTAAAGGTTTTACTGAGAGTAGGATATCTTTGGAGTAAAGTAATTTGAAAGAAGAAACCATATTAGGAAGGAGAATTCGCGGTCTTGAATTCATTTATGAAAAAAATTACCTTTAAACAATGAATGGAGAGTATAAACGTATACTTTTTCTGGCTATCTCTTTATAATTACCTTTTTGGAAGAAATCTGTCACATTAATAAGGTTCTGTAAATATTACAATAAATCTGTGGGCATTTTTTCCTTTAGCATTTTGAGAAATGATGTATGGGCATTTAGTTCTTCTCTTGATATAGGAGCTGCATTGCTACCAAGGATTTCATTGCTCTGAGTAGTAAATGTGGCCCACACACTTTGTGGTACTGAGGTAGGAGTGGCATTAAAAATTTCTCATATTATCCAGTTCATTGCAAAGAATAGGAATTGACCTGAAAACAGAATGTCAGAGATTAAGAGGTAGAAACTGTATTAAAGTGCTTTCAATCTATATTATAAAGGAAAATTTAAAGAGTAATTATTCTGACAGATTCATGAGTAAGACTACCAACAATCAGGGCACATTATTTTAAATGCTGATGAGTTGTAAAGTGGTACCCAATTTGGGTACCACTTGTCCCAGGCCTTTTCCAAATCAAATAGTCCACTAATTTTGCTTTAGTCATACCTTAAACTACCACGTGGTCCTTAAGGAGTTCAATATTTAATATAAATATAACCATAAGTTTACAGTGTGGAAATAAGATTGCTAAATGAAGTCACTCAAAAAAAAAGTCAACTTTATATAGTGGCTTTGAGGTAAAAGACCCCATCATTCACAAGTTTGCCAAAGCCAGAAACCTCAACCTAATGCATGACCCTTTCTCTCTCTCCCGTCCCTCTAATTAACTACTAAGTCTTTAGGACTCCACCTCTGAAATATTTCTTTAATCTGCAACCTCCTTTCCATCCCCTCTGCCAGGCTTTCATCACTTTTCTCATAAGATCTTGCAACAGTGTCCAAACCAGTTTTCCTACCTCCTCAAGCTTCAGCCTCCCCTCCACCCCACAATTTATTCTCTAACTACCAGCAGAACGATCTTGCTAAAACACAGATCTAATCATGCCGCTCCCGAATTAAAAACCTTGAGTTCTTCCCAGGGCCAACAGATAAAATCCAAACTACTGAGTATGGTGTATAAAGTACTTTACAGTTAGAGCCCAAATGATCTTATCGGCCTTGCCTCCTGCCGAGTGCCCAGAACAATGATGATCAGATTGCTGATGATTCTCCAGTAGGCCCTATTCTCTCATGAACTCTCTGCTCTCTTCCCTTGGACAGTCCCCTCCACCCCTCACATCAGTGAGTCTTATGATCTTGTTTTGATCCCGTCAGGCTTTCTCAAATGCCCCGTCTTCTATAAGAAGCCTTCCCTCAACTCTCCGGTCACTTGTTCTTTCAGTCTCCATAAGTGCATTCCTTACTCCTTTGTGGCAGGAACCCCCCAAGGGCTAATTCCTCTCCATATCCCCAGCATGTAGCATTCTGCCCACTATAGCATAGTTGGTCAGTAAAAATTTGTTGAATAAATAAAGAATTGATGCTGTCCTCCTCCTACCTTTCTCTTCTACCCTAAAGAAGAAATCTAATTTCCAAATTCAGTGTGATTTACAATCACCTACTGATAGTTCTAGGTATTTGACAAGACATTTTGAATTATAATTCTTCCTTTTCACTAAATTTTAGTTTTTCTGGTACAGTAAGATTTTCCCTTGGGCCATAAAGAAGTATTCTCACCCCCTACTTTCCCAGGTACTAGAAGTCATATATACAGTTTGGCCAAAGGAGCACATGGAAAGTTTTTACCTTTAGATCCTTCAACCTATACGATATGTTAGGAATACTAAAACAAAAACCAACAACCTAAGCACATCTTTAATTTCACAGAATCCCCAACTATTGGACCTGGAATGAATCTTAACCAGGACCTCTTCCATCTTGTATGGTTGTGCAGGTTGTGAACTGTTTAACCCTAGGGGGCACCATACTCATAGATTACAGTGTGAATGACTTTCTCCCCCAGGATGTTATCATTTGCAACCTGCAACCTTACACAGTGTCCCTACTTATCTAATCCTCCTCCTTTTCAAATAAGGAAATTTAGGTCCTAAGAAGCCAACAGGTTTGCTCGAGCTCACACAGATATTTTTTGATAGCATCCATATGCAATAACCTGCCCCCTTTGTGCTTCTCTGGCATTCTGCCAATCTAAATTGCTTTAGAAGACCATGAAACTAGAAAAGAATATTTGCTGTAGTTGTATGGATAATGAACAATATGCCTTAGCTAAACATAAAATTCAAATAATTTAGTTTACCTCTGTATTATTTGTTCTTGCTTTCCACCTCCAGCTGCACTGGTCTGGTTGGCATAACTTCAGCATTCAGCATATCACACTGCTGCCCTCAGGCTTACTGGGGCTCAGGTGGTTGTTTATTCCACCATGTTGCCAAGCTGTGCTGTCTGCTCCCTCCCTTGCTAGCCCATTCCTCTGTGACTTATTGTTAGCCGCCACCTCCTTTGGCTTCTCTTCTTGGCATTTTGTGCTACTTTATTTTTATAGTCATCCCTGACCAGTCAGCATGATCCTTTCCTTCCTTCTATTCTACAAACCAATCAATCACAGCATGTTGGCTGTTGACCTTGGGTCTTAGGTTCTTTGCTGCTGTTCACTGCTGCTGGGGGTGCCTAGAGGATGCAGCTTCTTTGCCAAAACGTTTTGTTTCTTTTTTTTTTTTTCCTTCCCTTATGCTAGATTTTGGGCTTTCTGAATGCTTGTCGATGCCAGAATGGTTATCTCCAAATAAGTGTGGTTCTATTTCTATAAGTCCTCTTTTACTCTTGTTTAAAAGTGAAAATCCTTGCTTGGAAGGAAGAATCTTGGTTAGAAAAATTCATGTAGATCAGACACTCAACATAGTTAATTGTCCCTACCAAGGACAATGCATTTAGAAAATAACTAAACTTCCTTTCCCCCTTATCCATGCTCATCATCAGTGACAAGCTAAAGTAACCGAGGTATTTTGGTAGGTTTGGTTGAGCTTGAATAGAAAACTGGACCTCCTGAGCCAAAGCCCTCTAGCCTTAATGGACTAATGCTTTGTTTGAGTTCTTTGCTCTGGTCATTAAAGCTGGAAGATCTTTCTGAAACTGCTTGCTTACTTCAGTTCTACTTGATCAGTCAAGATATAGAATAGAATTAGGTTAAGGAACAATCAATTTGTTAGAGGTTTGATACTTGCTGTTTAGTGGTTATTTGCACCTTATATATTGTTCATTGTATAATTGGGAATTTCTTTGTAAATGTTTGGTTTTCAGGCTGGTTGGAAGGAAAATCACGCAACATTCATGAGTGAACTAAAAAATCTTCAGGCTTCTGGACTGACTACTCTTGGTCAGGCTCTAAGATCCTCATTTGATTTGTTAAATCTCAATAGATTAATATCTGGAATAGACAATTATGGACAGGTAAAAAAATTTTAAGTGAGTACAGCTAATTTATTTTGGTGACTTGGGGTAAGAATTTAAAATTGAGCATGGTTACCAAGTTTTCTGCTACTTTCCATATCCTCCCAATAGAGATTCATATACCTTTTAAATACATACTTTAAAAAAATCCCTCTTTTTTGGGTTCTTTTATGTGTCTTGATTATAAAATAGTTAAAATTGCCTACCATCAGATCATAAGATGTCTGACAGTGGGATGAATAAATTGCTGAGAAATATTAGAAGAAGACAACTGGAGGAAAACTTTCAGTGTCCTAACTCCCCTGCCCCTCCCAATTCAATGAAAAGGCTCTAGGATAAGAGGAAAGACAGAATAGCATTTGCTGCGGCTACCATTGCCCTTTCCTCCCCTAAAATCTCTGTTCACAGTAACCAGAGTCGCTGTCCAGGTTGCAGAGGCTAATTGTCCTATCTGTGCCAGGATTTTGACTCAGGTGAATGGATTCATGATGTGGATGATACCCCCATTACAATCTCTTTAATGTCATTATTTTGTGATTACTTGGAAAGCAAGGAGAGAGGTATGTGAATGTTAATAGTTTGGGGCGTTCCTGAATTATAAGAATTCCTCAGTTTATACTGAATGTTACCTCTTCAGGGATTGTTATTTTGATTCCTACCCATTTTGTTTCCTAATCTTTTCCTTCTTATAATATTTATCCAGACAAATTTTGTCATATACTTGAGAGATCATTGGCAAGGCAAATGTAAAAGTTTAAATACAATTTTATTACTTTACATGGCTCTAATGCTTTTTAAATGTATTTTAGGGGAGAAATCCATTTTTTTTAGAACCATCTATTTTAATTACCATCACAGATGGAAACAAGTTAACAAGTACTGCTGGTGTTCAGGAAGAGGTGAGATTTTTTTTTTTTAATTTTGTTCAAATGGCAGAGAACATGCAGCTATTTCTGTGGGAGGCATTTCCAGTTAAGCATAAGTTTGGTCAAATCTCCCATTTTGGTAATCCTTTTGAAAAATTGCTTAATTTTATTGAGTTACATGAAAGAAAAGTGAACCTTTTAACTCTTTATTTATTCATTTTTGTATGGGTTGTTATGATGAACCTTTTCAAATTTTGCCTCATCAGCTTCATCTTCCTTTGAATTCTCCTCTGCCTGGAAGTGAACTAACCAAAGAACCTTTTCGTTGGGATCAACGGTTATTTGCTCTGGTGTTACGATTGCCTGGAGTGGCTTCTACTGAGCCAGAGCAACTAGGAAGCGTACCAACTGATGAATCTGCCATCACACAGATGTGTGAAGTCACAGGAGGTATTGGCAATATTTAACATTTCTGAAGGAAGAATTCAGGGCAGCAGAGTATAGTTTCCATTAAATGCCATATCCAGTCTTTGCTTATTTTCTTTCAAAATCTTTTATCTCTGTTGCTTAAGCTCATCATTGGTATGATATTTGCTGCCAATGTAGCTATGATTATTTCAAGTTAATTTTAGGATTTTAAATGCTTATGTTATGAAATAGTATTTTATTTGCTCAAACTTTTGCTATTTGCTTTTCCTTCTGGTATAGGTCGCTCCTACTGTGTGAGAACACAGAGAATGTTGAATCAATGTTTAGAATCTCTAGTTCAAAAAGTTCAGAGTGGTGTAGTTATTAATTTTGAAAAAACAGGACCAGATCCACTTCCTACTGGAGAAGGTACAGTACAAAAATTTTTTTAACTCCAAAGTGTTGTATAGGAGAATGATCTGAGATTGAGAAGACATGAAACAAATTATAATAGACACAGACCTCACTATCGACATGCATTTGAGTGGTTACAAACATCCATCGAAACAACTACCATACATTCATTGCCTGCGTATACATGTTAGTTGGCCAAATTCTAACAACTTTAATCTCATGTCCAATGTTCCTAAGAAACTTTCTCCTTTTACCAGCCCATTTTGTATTCCCTGGTCCCAGTCTTGGAATGATACTGACTCGTTTACCTCTCTATTCACAAAATATCTGGAGATTCACCACAATGTGCCACTTAAGTAGTAATCTGGTTTTGGTCTTGTGAGTACCAAATATGCTGAGCTATCTTTATGAAATCTGTGTTAGTTACTGCTCCTCAATAAGAGATTGTGAGTGTTTATCCAGGAACTGCTTGTGTTCTCTAAGCTCCTACACTAGTATTTTTCCAGTTACCTTTTAACTGCAGAACCTTTTCTCTTCAAATGAGATTTTATAGAAAGTTCAGCATCTAAAAAGAGATAAAAGCTGAGTTACTTTTGCATAGAGGAAGTTAAATAATAGTGAAGCTCCAGATATTTTGTGAATGGATGTTTGTAACCACTTGAATGCATGTGGATTTCAAAGGGATCAGGAAACTAAACAGCACCATGGTAATGCTTTGTAAGAGTTCCTTAGAGCTGTGTTCTAGGTTATAACTTCTTCTCATTTCTAGCAGTTCACACACATACATACATGTGTATATATAGACTCCGTTATTACCGCAGTGTTTGTCTGATCCCATCCATACATTTTCATTGCCTTGACGAAAGACAAAGGGGCCAAGTGCCACAAAGCAGAAAGCTACACATTTCTGTCTGAAGCAGTGGATCCCATGGTTCCTGACCTTTGTTGTTGTTGTTTTCTCTTTAGTTTCCCTATCCCTTTGAGAAGTTGTTGGAAAAATGTAGACCTCTTGCCCTAGAAAAATGGACATAGGGCACACACACAATTTTATAAATAATTTCAGGGATTTCTTGAACTCCAAGTTAAGAATACCTGCTATAGAAGACTGAGGCCTCACAGCCTATTTTAAATTAACATTATAGGAAGGACATGTTATATTGCTAGTGATTGACTGCTCAGTCCATAACTTTGTGCTCACTGCCTTAGCATAAACTGGAAACTTTCATATTGAAATCCTACTGGAATTTGGTGTCATGTGAATAGCTCAGATTTTCTTCCTAGGTCCAGTTCCCCTTTGTCCAGAGTTCTTAACCTTCCAGATTCTGATGAAAGCCAAAAAGCCTTTCCTCAGAAAAATGCACATTCTGAGAATTGTGAACTCAACTTTAGGGGGGCCCTCCAAAACCATTACGTTTTCCCTAGAGCTTAAATGGACCCAGTAAATCTTGTCTAAAGTAATTACTTGTTTAAAGGAATATTTAAGTAAATCAAATGACCTGTAACTTAAGAAAAATGAGACTCAAATCATTAAAGCATACCTTTTACAGATATTATTTAGACTAACAAATCATTGCATAAAAAGTTATGTAACTCTGCCTTGCCCTGTTTTTTTTGGGGGGGGGCAAATGAAATATGCTGGTTTAAATCATTAAAATGCATTCAGGATATGTTATTTAGCATCATACAATGCCCAGTTTCCATGGAATTTTAATGGTGAATGGGGAAACTATAGTGAATTAATCCATAATAAACTTGATGCATTTGCTTTGTGTTCCCTCCCCCACCCAGCTATATATATATATGTGTGTGTGTGTGTGTGTGTGTGTGTGTGTGTGTATATATTTTGTATTGCCAGCATTTCTTCTACCTTTAAGTGAATTTGGATAGTTTTTATTTTGCCTTTGTGGTCATTGGGTCTAACTCTTCAGTAAAGAGTATTTTTTTATCTACTTGCAATTTATGATTTATTTTGTCAGATTCCCAAAATGTAAAAATTATACCAGAAAATGACCAGTTTCATTTGCCTAATTTGGTAATTGAATTCTTAAAAAATAACTGTAATGTTTTGGTGTGTTTAATTTATGTGTCTAAGTCTCAGAAAATTTAAAACTAGTTTTACACTAGTTTTCCACATTACTGCCTTTCCTCATAGTAGGTTAAGATGGTGGGCGGTGTTGGATTAGAAGGGATGGATTTGATGAAAAGAGTTGCCAAAGAGAACATGTAAGAATCCTAGTAGTCACTTTTTTCCTTCCATTTTTCATGAATCATTGTTTTTGTTTTATTTTGGACTTTGCTTTCAGATGGAAAAATTTGTACAGGAATATTAGCAGCTATAAAAAGAAATTGATGCCTTAGTTTGTCTTTTGTTTAACTTTTAGATGGACTTATGGAGTCATCTAGGCCAAGCAATTCATTTGCTGCTCAACCATGGCATAGTTGTCATAAACTCATTTATGTACGACCTAACTCTAAAACTGGTGTTCCTGTTGGACATTGGCCAATTCCAGAATCTTTTTGGCCAGATCAGAATTTACCTTCACTAGTAAGTGTCCTAAAACAAAAAGGTAAACATCATTCTGGATTTTCAATTTGCTGATTACAGTGAACCTTTTAAAATAGCTTTGAGGCTTTTAAGCCAAGCCACAGGCAAGTAGGTCTTCCCTCCTTTGCCTTCTGCCTCTTAGTGCAAGTCTAACTCGTGCCTAAAAGCAAGCGAGGACTTCCTTTATTTTCTAGCACTTTTTATTCTTTCTTTCAGTTGTGTTTGCCGCTTGAACTGCCCTCTTTGGATATTAAAACATTGTTATTTTTGATGCTGTTGTAATTCGTGACTTGGTTTTCATTTCAGAGCAGCTGACTTGATTTATGTAGTAAACACAATGTTTAAAAAGTACTGGCATTGATTTTCATGCACAGCCGCAGGAAGTTCAAACCTAATTCACACCTTAAATGGGCTCTCGGAACGTATTCAAAACATATTCACAATTGTACTTCTTCCTCTTTTCATCTTTTTTTTGTAATCAATGGACTTCTGTAGCAATGACGGGTAATTAAGCAATATTTTTAAAATGATCTCTAAGCAAGGACTTGTCTTTTTCGTCACTGCATGTGGTAGAAGAGGGTTTGATATTATAGTTGCTCCTAGTACCAGATCAACTGGCTTTTTTGTGAGGGGACAGTGCCTAGTAATAAGGGAGACTGTATGAAACCCATTCTCTCTTTCCTCTTCCTTCTCTCCCTCCAAATTTAAGAAAGCCTGAGTAATTTCTCTTGTGTGGGCAGGGGGTGGGGGGCGCTGCGCAAACAGATCACTACTCTAGTTTAACACCTTCCTGTTTCAGCTAATCATTCTAAGTTTTAGAAATTTCTGACAGTGAACTGCATTTTCTCCTGGATTATTATTATTATTTGAGACAGTCTCGCTCTGTCACGCGGGCTAGAGTGCAGTGGCACTAGATTACTGTTTTTAGGCTCCTGCATTTTTTTTCAGGAGTAGCCATGAAAGGCCCGAATGTAAGACTGAAGAGCCCTTCAGCCCCTGCTGTGCGTGAGGGTAAATGTCCTAGTCATCCCCTCAGGGCTCCAAGGTGGCACACCTGTCAAATCTCAGCCCCTTCAAACCCCAGAGAATAGGTTTTATGGTGAATTTACTTCATTATTGCTACTGCAGAGGCTTCACTCATGTATTTATTGCTTTTTTATTAATACATGTTCAAATCTAAGAAGTCAGAAATATTTCACAAAGCTAATTAAAACTGAGATCATGAAAAACTAGAATAAGAGAAATTCTAAGTAATCCACACATGGCTCGTATTACCTTTCCTCCATCTTTAAAAGCTCATTTGAGGCCTATTTTTCTCAACCCCCAAACATCTTATAAGTCTGTAAATTATAAAGGCAAATGACTTTGTTTTTACTTTTTATAAAGGAAGCAAAGATATTTTTCATATTCATATTAGCCTTACAGATCTCTCAGCAAGAATAGGCTGACCCACTTCTCACCCTTGTCCCTGGAACTTGTCCTGTCTCCCTATCTTTCCATATTGCCCTTGATGCCCCCCTTTCTCTCTCTGGTGCTCTCTAGTCACACAAGATAAACCTGTTCATAAAATGACTTCTCAACTAATCTGCTCTGATAACCCAGGTACACAGGCCTTTGCAGCCCAGCCCAAAGCATCCCTAGCTGCAGCTATTCAAGGCAAGCATGTGGGTGTTAGCAGTGCTGGAAAAATCCATCTGAGCCCTGGAATTGTGGCAGGCTCATTATTGGTCTCTATCTTGCCCGTTCCATGCCTTTACTATTTTTCATTTTGCTTGTTAGTGGCTTGAGCTCTGTCGTTATTTCATTTGAAAGTTGCATGAATTCCTCTTCCCCAGCAGTATCTGAACTATCTGTAACCTCATGGTATAAAGGAATGAAGGGGCTTTTTGAGACCAACGGAGAGGTCCGAGCCCCCTGAGCTCCCGCTTTGCCTATAATCTTTATAAACTTGTAAAACTAAAAAAAAAAAAAAAAAGGAATGAAGGGTAGACAATGCTTGGAAGTTGCAAAGTAGATCTGAAATTCAGGGTTCATCCTACAGATCATAATTACCTCTTAAACATATTCAAAGCAGTTTTTTTTTTACTTCACTGAAACTCTACTTATGAGTTTTGTAATTTACTTTTCCTCTTTCCAATGCCAAGCAGATGGTAGAGAGAAAGGATCTGAGTCCCCTCTCCCATGAAAGCCGTTGGTGATTCCTAGAGATCTAGTAACCCTCTTTCTCAAAACACTAGTTTGTATCTCACTGATGGTTTAACAAAATACAAAAGGGCTTGCAGAATTGTCAGAAATGTAAGCTTGCTTGATACCTGACCATCTTTTCTTCTCTTTTTTTAGCCTCCACGAACATCTCATCCTATTGTGAGGTTTTCTTGTGTAGATTGTGAACCAATGGTAATAGACAAACTTCCCTTTGACAAATATGAACTTGAACCTTCACCCTTAACTCAGTACATCTTGGAACGAAAGTCTCCCCATACCTGCTGGCAGGTACTTATCCTTACCTATTAGCCAAATGTCTGTAACCACTTCGGGATCTGGGAATTGTTTTAAGAGGTTAATCTTGAAATAATTAGACTCAATCTGTTAATATTTCTCACAAATGCTATCAAATAAGCAATAGCACCAAGCAAATAATTTCAGACTGATGTGGATCATTAGTCTACTGTAATTTGTCACTTAATGCAATAAAGTCAGATGAAACTATGTATTTGAAGATTTGGGAGACCTCCCCCACCCTGAAGCCTATCCACAGACCCCAGGTTAAAAATCCCTAACCTAAAGGATGTAATTTTATTCAGGTATGGCTTTTGCAGCTGAAGCAAGGTTCTCAGCCCTTAGTTTGAACTTGACGGATTGGAAGTACAGGATAGTTTGGGCAGATAACCATAAGCCCTGAAACTAATATCAGTATTAGTGTAAGGTAATAGAATCCTTCTTCCTGTAGTACAAATCACACTGGTGTGTGTAGTGTGGATTTTACCACTTGGATGAGACAAATGCACAGAGATATCATACACTGGCTCTTCGAAGTGTTATACTTCAGCCAGAAGGACTTTCTGATTGGTTAATGGAGTCACCTATGGAGTTTCATTTGTAAAAATCCAGACATGGCAAGTCACAGCCTTTTTATTTAGATGCAACAAAAAAGACCTACACTGTAAAGATGTTTGTTCTATTTCTAAACTCCAGGATCATATAGCAATCAGTAGTTGTTAGGCTCTATTTACACAAAGAACACTTTCAGACTGCCATCTGTTTTATCCTCAAATGTGAGATTATTGCTACAATAATTCAATGTCTACAAGCTAAATTCTCCCAAGGTGCTAAAACCAGTTATAAAAAAGGAGCAGACTTAAAGCAAGGATGTAAAAGCACAAGAAACAGAATAATCGCACAAACATAATACTGAGCAAAAAAAGCCAGACAGAAAAGATCACATATTGTATGATTCCATTTTATATACGTCCAAAGAGAGGTAAAGCTAACTTACTCCGTTAGAAGTTAAGATAGTGGTTTCTCTTGGAGGGTGCAGGGTAGTGACCAGAAGAGAACACGAGGGGGTTTCTGGTCATATTGTGTGTCTTAACCTGGGTGCTGTTTACACATGTACATTCACTTTGTGAGCATTCATTGAGCCATATACTTAATAATTTGCACAGAAAGTGCTAGAAATGTAGAGATGTGGATGATAAATTGCTAACTTAAAAAAAGATATGAGGTTTGAATTTATAGGTCAAAAGCATTTTTTTCAATGAAAGCAATAAAATTACAAATTATATTTTTTCCCTAAAATAACCCCTCTTTTCTATATAGCACATTCCTTGTAAACCTCTCCAAAGAAATTTAAATCTTGTCCTCACTCCTGTACAGCCCCTTAAATATGCCATATGTCTTTTTCCTATACCTTATGTTACTTTGTTTTAGAGTATTTTTAATGTGATGAATCAGTAGGAGTGAAAAAGAATAAAATAAACCAGGAGCCAGCAAATTTGGCAAAACCATAATGGAGACTCTGCCATCAACTATGTGGCCTTGTGCCAGGCACTTACTTTTTCTGGACTAGATGGTCTCTAAAGATCCCTTGGAACCCCCAAATTTTATGAATCTGTGAGTGATAAGGAATTTGAAAAAACTCAAGGGACTAAGTAAGGAGAAGGAAGGAAGGAAGGAAGGAAGGAAGGAAGGAAGGAAGGAAGGAAGGAGAAACTAAAAACAGTGCTTTTCTTTCATGGGAATCTAAGGCTGACTGACTACTGTGTGTATATAAATTTTTTATCCTTTATGATGAATTTTTCCCCTCTTCTAATATACACATAGGAAATAAAATATAGCATGTTTTATTATAGCTATTTGTTTCTATTAGGGTTTAAATTATGGGACAGAATCTAGTAGAACATGTTTTAGCACAACTCATGTTTTAAGTCATAAATTACATAGGAGTCATAAATTACATAGGAAAGATTTATTCTCAGTGATAACTAAATATAACAAGAATTTAGTAAATTGGCAGGTGATATTGCTGGTACCAAGAACTAGCAAGGTAAATGAATTCTGTTCAACATCCGGGTTTGACTTTTATCTTAAGTGATCCTACCAAAGGATCTTGGAAAAGTAAAAGTCTAGGTCACTAAAAGTATATACTGGTGTCCTGATTTGGACCAAAGAGTCTGAACATGGAACACAGAGAAAAACCATGGTAGCTAGAGGACTCTGATACAGCATATCGAGTGCATGGGGGCTGACGACATATATATCAAATCAAGAATGTCAATAAGGAATAAGAAGATAGTCATATGGAATACAGATTTATGTTTTAATCTTATTGAATGTTTGTTCTACCAGTGTAACTTGCAAGAGAAAATGCCTTCCAGATTGAACCAAAGCATTTTCTTGCTGCCTCAAAATAATTAGCAGTAGTGCCTGGCTTATATATAATAGGTTGCTCAGTAAATATAAAATGAATAAATGGGTAAGGGAATAGGGCAGCAAAGGGAAATAGAGCAAAGACTTAACAATAGTACATTAATAATAGTACATATGAGGACTGTTTACATAATCCTTTAAGTGGGCTTTGTTTTTATAATTTCGTGCTTTAGGCATGGGGCCACGTTCCGTTTCCCTAAAAGTCTGCACTCTGGTCATCACTTGTTCTTTTGTTCTTTTTTTTTAACCACTTGTTCTTTTAAGAAGTTAATTTTTTTTAATGGCTGGTGTCACTTAATGGTATTTCAGTCTTATTTTCCACTGTACTAACCAACTGAATATTTTGGTATTTTTGATGTGGCCTGTGGTCTCTGAATGGTTGTTGCATAGTACAGTTTCACTTCTTAATATAATTTATAGAATTGCAATCTGAACATTCATATTTAGTTTGATCTATTTTGACATAACAGTAGACTAAAAGAGCAATTCCTATTTTTAAATTACAATTACACTGTGCCACAGATGCTGCTATAGAATGTTGCTGTGAGTTTGGCTTGACATAAAATCCTTATTGTCAGCATGGTATATTACTTCATGTTCTCAGGTATTTGTTACTAGCAGTGGAAAATACAATGAACTTGGATATCCATTTGGTTATTTAAAAGCCAGTACGACTTTAACTTGTGTAAACCTCTTTGTGATGCCTTACAACTACCCAGTTTTACTTCCTCTTTTAGGTAAGTAAAATAGTGCTATTTAATCATCTTTAAAATACAACAAAATGAAAACTAGATAATGGACTAAGCATTTTAAATGTAGTCAAAGAATAATTGATACCAGGATAGATAAAAGTCCAAACACTGATTTGAAAGGATATAATTTGTCTACTGTTTTCTGTTTTGTTTCTTTTCTTTTTGCTGTTTTTACATTGAACAGAAGAAGAAGAGATACTTGACCTTTGATGTGTGATTCTTACACTGCTCTTTGAGTTGCAAGCTGCAAAGCACATTCTCCCACCCCCCGGTTTGAAGTGCACTTGAGTTTTTTGCAGACTAATTTGGGCCAAAAATACCATTAATTGGGGTTAACAGTCTAGGAGTCAGATGGTTTTCTTCAGAAAATAGAGCTTCCACAGGGGTATTGGCTTGCACTCATTTCTCCCCAGAAGATTAAATGCTCTTGAGGCATCTGTTTTAGGCAGAGTGGTGAGTTAAGGAAATAGGTGCAAAAGTAACTTCTGGAATAAATGTGGTTGTAGAAGATGCAGTTTCCATGGCAAAACTCTAAAAGGAACAACTCAAGAAGCTGTTACTCAGATACTACTGAAAATGTGTGCAGAGATTTTTTTCTCGTTTGAAGAGTCACATCTATTTAGAGTAATGTAATATTGCACGGTATCTTTCTAGTTGTAAAGTTGTGAATGTTTTTATCTGGCGGGGTTTCTTAATTTTTGAAAAAAGGATCAAATCTTTACCAAGTTTTCATATGATCATCAAAGGCATAAGACTTTTAGTGTTATAAATACTACATACAAATTATGTACTGATAAGGCAATATTTTAAAATATTGAGAGTTAAGTTTAAAAATGGATCATCATAAATATATTAGTATGATTGTTTTGTATAGCCTATTTATTTTATTTCTTAGTCCAATCTAAAAATATCCTCTTTTTAAGAGTTATTGTCATTAATAAAAGATATAGGTTATATCTTTGAGATTAATAAGATTGCCAATATAAAATTGTCTATATTTTGCAGACTTATTTATCCCTTTTCTTAAATATGCCTTTATGACCTCAGTTTCTACAATTATAAAGAGATTAGATAATGTTAATTTTGACTGTTAATGGTATAAATTTTCTATTTTCTGAATACACTTTTTTTGATTCATTTTATTGAAGTCTGATTAACATACAAAAAAGCTGTACATATATAGTGTATACAACCTGATGAATTTAAAGATAAGTATAAACCATGAAACCATCACCTCAATCTGTGCCACAAACCTATCCATCACCTCCAAAAGTTTCTCCTGCCCTCTTTATTTATTATGGTCATTCTTTTTGTGATAAGAGCACTTAATATATGATCTACCCTGTTGGTAAATTTTCAAGTATACAATATGGTTAACTATAGGCACTATGCTGGAGGACATTATGCTCAGTGAAATAAGCCAGACACAGAAGGATAAATACTACATGATACCACTTACACATTTTTTATTTTAAGATAATTGTAGATTCATATGCAGTTGTAAGAAATAGTACAGAGAAAGATGACATCAAAAGCAAGGGCAACAAAAGTAAAAATAGACACATGGAACTATATCAAACTTAAAACCTTTTGCACATCAAAAGACGTAACAGAGTGAAAGATAACCTATAGAATGGGAGAAAATATTTACAAATCATATCTGTTAAAGGATTAACATCCAGAATATATAAAGAGCTCCTGCAACTCAACAACAAAACAAATAACCCAATTAAAAAATGGGCAAAGGACTTGAATAGATATTTCTCCAAAGAAGATATGCAAATAGCCAATAAGCATATCAAAGATGCTCAATATCACTAATTATTAGAGAAATGCAAATCAAAACTACAATGAGATATCACCTTACACCCATTATGATGGTCACTATAAAAAAAAAACAGAAAATAAGAAGTGTTGGTGAAAATGTGGAGAAATTGGAATCCTTGTGTACTGTCGGTAGGAATTTAAAATGGTGCAACCACTATGGAAAACGGTATAGAGGTTCCTCAAAAAATTAAAAATAGGCTGGGCGCGGTGGCTCACGCCTGTAATCTTAGCTCTCCGGGAGGCCGAGGCGGGCGGATTGTTTGAGCTCAGGAGTTCGGAACCAGCCTGAGCAAGAGCGAGACCCCGTCTCTACTAAAAATAGAAAGAAATTAATCGGACAACTAAAAATACATAGAAAAAATTAGCCAGGCATGGTGGCGCATGCCTGTAGTCCCAGCTACTCGGGAGGCTGAGGCAGGAGGATCGCTTGAGCCCAGGAGTTTGAGGTTGCTGTGAGCTAGGCTGACGCCACGGCACTCTAGCCCGGGCAACACAGTGAGACTCTGTCTCAAAAAAAAAAAAATTAAAAATAGAATTAACATTGATCCAGCAATCCCATTTCTCGGTATATATCCAAAAGAATTGAATCCAGGATCTTGAAGATATATTTGCACTATCATGTTCACTGAAGCATTAGTCACAATAGCCAGGAGGTGGAAATAACCCAAATGTCCATTGATGGATGAATGGATAAAGAAAATGCGGTATATACATGCAATGTAATATTTAGCCTTAAAAAAGGAAATTCTGTCACATGCTACAATATGGAACAACCTGGAGGACACTGTTCTAAGTGAAATAAGCTAGTCACAAAAGGACAAATATTGTATGATTCCACTTATATAAGGTATTAAAAGTAGTGAAACTCATAGAAATGGGGGCTAGGGAAAAGGGGGAATTGTTGAGTGGGTATAGAGTTTCAGTTTTGTAAGATGACAATGTTCCAGAGATCTGTTGCACGACAATGTGAAAATAGTTAACATTAATAAACTTTACACTTAAAAAATTAAAATGACAAATGTTATGTATTTTAACACGATTTTTTGGAATAACATTTTTTTTATTATTTATTTATTTATTTTGAGACAGAGTCTTGCTCTGTTGCCCGGGCTAGAGTGCCGTGGCGTCATCCTAGCTCACAGCAACCTCAAACTCCAGGGCTCAAGCCATCCTTCTGCCTCAGCCTCCCAAGTAGCTGGGACTACAGGCATGCGCCACCACTCCCAGCAAATTTTTTATGTATATTTTTATTTGTCCAGATCAATTTCTTTCTATTTTTAGTACAGATGGGGTCTCACTCTTACTCAGGCTGGTCTTGAACTCCTGACTTTGAGCGATCCTCCTGCCTCGGCCTCCCAGAGTGCTAGAATTACAGGTGTGAGCCACCACGCCCGGCCTGGAATAACATTTTTTTACAAATAAATAATACAAAGAGATCCCATGTATTCTTTATCCAGTTTTCCCAAATGATGTCTTGCTAAACTATGGTACAATATCACAACTATGACATTGACATTGGTACAATGAAGTTACAGAACATTTTCATCACAAGGATCCCTCATGTGGCTCTTTTATAGCCACATCCACCTCCTTCCTGTCCTCAGCCCCTCCTTAACCCCTGGCAACCACTGATCTATTCTATATTTCTATAATTTCATCATATCAAGAATGTTATATAAATGGAATCATTCAATATGTAACCTTTTGGGATTCGCTTTTTTCACTAAGCATTGTTCTCTAGAGATTCATCCAGGCTTGTCACATATATCAATAGTTTATTCCTTTTTGTTGCTGGATTGTAAACCATGGCATGAATATATTACAGTTTCTTTAGCTGTTTACCTGTGGAAGGACATCTGTGCTGTTTTTGCTTTTTGGCTATCGTGAATAAAGCTACCATAAATATTTTTGTGTACAGGTTTCTGTGTGAGGACAGGTCTTCCATTTCTCTGAGCTAAATGCCCAGGAGTGCAATTGCTGGATCCCATGGTAGTTGCATATTTATTTATTTAAGAAACTGCTTAAGTGTTTTCCAGAGCAGCTATACCATTTTACCTTCCCACCGTCAGTGTATGAGTGACCCAGTTTCTCTGCATCTTCACCAGCCTTTGGTGTTGTCGGTATTGTTTTTTTATTTTAGCCATTCTGATAGATGTATGGTGATATAGCATTGTGGCTTTAATTTGTATTTCCCTAATGGCTAATGGTATTGACCATCTTTCCATATGCTTATGTGCCATCTTATACATTCTTTGGAGAACTGACTTTTGCCTATGTTTTAAATGGATTGTTTGCTTTTGTTACTGTTGAGTTTTGCGAGTTCTTTATATATCATAGATACTAGTCCTCTGTCAGATATGTGACTTGCAAATGTTTATTTAGGTCTTCTCTGGTTTCTTCACCAGTGTTGTGCAGTTTTCTGTATGCGTGTTTTGTTAGATTTACACCTAAGCATTTTGATTTTTTGAGTGATTGCAAATGGTGTTGTATTTTTAATGTTGGTATCCACGTGTTCACTGCTAGTATATAGAAATACAATTGATTTTCATGTTTATATTGTGTCCTGCAACCTTGCCAAACTCACTTATTAGTTCTAGGAGAGTTTTGTAGATTCCTTGGAATTTTCAATATAGACAATTATGTCATCTAAAAATGGAGATAGTTTTACGTCTTCCTTTCTGATTTTTATGCTTTTTATTTCCTTTTCTTGCCTTATTGTACTGTAGAGAACTTCTAGTACCATGTTGAATGATAGTGGTGAGAACGGACAGCTATGCTTTGTTCCCAATCTTGAGGGGGAGCATTCATTCTTTTATTAAGTATGATGTTTTTGTAGATTTCCTTGATCAAGTTAAAGAGTTCCCCTTCTATTTCTATTTTTCAGAGTATTTTTAATCATAAATAAGTGTTGAAATTTCTCAAATACTTTTTCTGCATCACTTGATATGACCATATGATTTTTCTTCTTTAGTCTATTAGTATGATGGATTACATTGACTGATGTTCAAATATTGAACCAGCCTTGCATCCCTGAAATAAACCTCACTTGGTCATGTTGTATAATTCTTTTTATATATTAGTGGTTTCTGTGTGCTAATATTTTTTATTTGTATTCATGAAAGATATTCATTTGTAGTTTTCTCTTTTTTGTATTGTCT